CATGATCTCAGTGTCCTGGGATCGAGCCCCATGCCAGCCCCATGCCGGGCTCTCTGCTCAGCAGGGAGTCTGCTTCTCCCTCTCACTCTCCCTATGTGCTCTCCCTCTCTCAAATAAATAAAATCTTTAAAAAAAAAAAAAATGAATCAAGGTGCCCCTGGGTGGCTCAGTCAGTTAAGCATCTGCCTTTGTCCTGGGATCGAGCCCCACACAGGGCTTCCTGCTCAGCAGGGAGTCTGCTTCTCTCTCTCCCCGCTGCTCGTGCTCTCTCTCTCAAATAAATTAAAAAAAAAAAAAATACATCAAAAGGATAGGGAAAGGGAAAGGGACAAAGATCAGCAACCTAACAATGAAAATTATTCAAATGAATTATTTATTAGAGAAAGCTAAGCAGCCAGAACTATTTACCCACCAAATCTCCTTTACCCTTTAAGAGAAAATCCATCAAAATTATTTCACAAAATAATTGTTATTTCTATCGCTTTTTCAATCTTAACATTGCTTCCGTTACCACAAGACAAGGCAAATAGTTAAAGAACACCTGCAGGCACTGACTAGAGAAAAGATCAAGAAGCAAGAGCTGATCAGCCTCCACACCCCTCAGCAGTGCCCTCCCTCCTACCTCCCCAATGCTCCAAACGAGATGCAGAACTGAGCTCTTAAGTGCACCTGTAGAGCGTTTCTGTATATATACCTGAGTGGGTGGTGGTGGGATTGCTCAAAGGAGAATACTAAAAGAAAAAGTAATTGGAACCTAAATCTTCCAAGTTGTGAATAACTAAATGAAGGTAAGATTCTCAAAATTAGCCAAACTGCCTAGAGCAGCATGAAACGAGAAACCAAGGCTATAGGAACCTCTTTACTCCATCTCACTCAAGTAAGAAATAATCAGAGTTTTACAAAACTATAAAAGGAAAAGAGAAAAACAGAGAAGAGTGGATTGGAAGACATAATGTTGTGAAAATGTCATTACTACCTAAAATGATTTACAGATTCAGAGCAATCCCTTCAAAAACCAATGACATTTTTTACAGAAATAAAAAATCCATCCTAAAATTCATACAGAATCTCAAGGGACTCTAAATAGTCAAAACAATCTTGAAAGAGAATAAAGCTAGAATCTCGCACTTGTTGATTTTAAAACTTACTACCAAGCTACAAGTAATCAAGACAGTGTGGTACTGGCATAAAGACAGACATATAGACCAATGGAATAAGAGAGCCAAGAAATAAACCCTTGTATTTATGGTCAATGAATTATGACAAATGTCAAGACCTTTCAATAGAGAAAAGATAGTCTTTTAAGCAAATGGTTCTAGAAAAACTGAATATCCACAGGCAGAAGAATGAAATTGGACCCCTACCTTATACCATATATAAAAATTAACTTAAAAATAGACCAAAGATCCAAATACAAGAGCTATCTATGTCTATATTTATGTTCTTTTAAATAGCTAAAAATTATAGAACTCTTATAAGAAAGCAAAGCAGAAAAAGTTTCATGACATTGGTTTGACAATGATTTCTTACATATAACACCAAAAGCAAAAGCAACAACAACAACAAAAAAATTGAACTTCATTAAAATTTAAAACTTTTGTGCAAATACCATTGACAAAGTGAAAAGGCAACCCCATGGAATGAAAGATATATTTGCAAATCATCTATCTGCTGAGGGATTAATACCTAGAATATATAAAGAACTCTTACAACGCCACAAAAAAACAATCCAATTCAAAAATGGACAAAGGATTTGAATAGACATTTCTCCAAAGATACACAGATGTCTGACAAACAAATGAAAAGATGCTCAACATCACTAATCATTAGCGAAATGCAAATAAAACCCCATGAATACCATTTCACACACAGAAGGATGGCTATTATCCCCCCAACTTCAAAAAAACAAAAACAAGTGTTGATGAGGAGGTGGAGAAACTGGAATCCTCATGCACTGCTAGTGGAAAACAATTTGGTGGTTCCTCAAAAAGTTAAACACAGAATTACCATATGATCCAGCAATTCTACTTTTAGCTATATACCCAAAAGAATTGAAAACAGGGACTTAAACTCTTGAACACTAATGTTCTTTGCAGCATTGTTCATAATAGCCAAAAATGTGGAAACCCAAGGGAATGGATAAACAAAATGTAGCACATACATGCACTGGAATATTATTTAGTCATGAAAAGGAATGAAAGTCTGATACATTTTATAGTATGGATTAATCTTGAAAACATTATGCTAAGTGAAATATGCCAGACACAAAGGGACAAATATTGCATAATTCCACCTACACGCAGTATCTAGAATAGGCAAATTCATAGAGACACAAAGTCAAACAGAAGTTACCAGGGGTAGGGGAAAAGGTGGAGTTATTGCTTAATGGTTACAGAGCTTCTGTTTTGGGTGATGAAAAAAATTTAGAAATAGTGGTGATGGTCATACAACACTATGAATGTACTTAATGACACTGAATGGTACATTTAAAAATGGTTAAAATCATAAACTTCATGTTAGGCAGATTTTACACAATTAGAAAAAATATGTAGATGGCACATGTGAGTCTTGTACAGGTTAAAATATCCTTCTATTATTTTTACACATAATATATGGAATTCTAAGCTCAGACTTTCTATTTACTCAAAATTTAATAGAGGCTTTTGACAGATTAGACATATCTCCTGATAAACACGTATTGTGGATTACCTTTTTTTTGTTTGTTTATTGTTTTACTTCTTGATTGGGTGAGTGGACAATTTGTATTTAATGATCATTAAAATTAAGTATCAGATTCCTTAAAATTAGTAACTAGACAAGTAAATAAATGAAGTATTGAACAATAAAAGCTCATTTAAGAAGACTTGCCCCTTTTCTTTCAGTAAATCTCCTTGGTTATAGCACAGACAACATTGTAATATACCAGCATTTAAGAACTATCCCAGTAATTATTACATAGCTTTGTTAGAAGTATCAATTTGGAGAGTATCAATCTGGAAATATAAATCACTAAAATATAAAGCACTTGGGTCAAGGACATTCTAGGATAACCAAATAAGGTCATAACTGAATAAGTTAGAACTATTATGGAGATGTTAAAACAGGAAGAGCCCTTAGCAATCATCAAATCCAATTCTATTACAAAAGAAAGAAAACGTCAAAGAATGAAATGTTGCTAGAGTTAAACCTGGAATTATTCCCAAAGCATTTTACCTGCCAAGAAAGGAACTTGGAAAAAGTAGCAGCATATGCCCAAATTCATTACAAATAAGTAAACATCTTTATATTTGTAGACTCTTTAAAATGGAAAAATAGGCATAATGGTACTAAAGAAGGAACCAGATGCTAGTATAATTCAAGTAGGAACAAGCTTCAGAATCGAACTGAATTAATTTTTCTAGTCTTAAATAAAAACTTCAGAAATAAAATGTTACATATAGGAATGCCAGACAAGGAATAAAGTAAAACATATTATCCTATTCCACCTTGGAATCTGTAAATAAATTCATTGTTTTCTGTATGTAGCTCTATGTAATATATGTTAAATGTAAAGACAGATCTCTAGTCTAAGATACGCTTTTTAGCATTTGTCACTTGCCTGTAGTAACGTGACTGTAAGTAGGTTGAGCACACAGCTTTGGAAACGTGACTAGCAGAACCAAAGTCAATGACCTTCACTCGGTAGGGTTGGCGCACTGGATCGACCAGCATTATGTTTTCAGGCTTAAGGTCAGCGTGAATCAGACCAAGGCTCTTGAGCTTCATCAGGGCTGTGGCCACCTGCTGCAAGATTGGTCTGATGTACTTGAGTGGCAGTGGGCTAAACTTGTTCTGCTTTAGAAAATCATACAAGTTCTGCTCCAGCATCTCAAACACAAGGCAGGTGTGATTCTTATGCTGAAAGCACTCATAAGAACGGACAAAATTATACTCATCAGCATTTTCACTGCTTAGGCGAGAAAGGATGCTCACTTCAATCTGTCCCTGTCTGGCATAGGAGGGGTGGTTCTTCAAGATTTTAATAGCCACGATTTCCTTAGTGCTCCGCTTCCAGCACTTAGCCACCTGTCCAAACGTTCCCCGGCCTAGAAACTCCAACACTTCATAGCTATTGGTCATAGAGCAAAGGATCTCATGCTGGACCAGCTGGTAATCCCCTTCTCCACTGGAACTGCTACTCTTTGTGGTCACAGTGGTGGTCGTGGCAGCAGCACCCACCACAGTCCTGTTTTGCAGCATGAGAGGGGGATGTTCTTCTATGATTTGCACGCTACCGTTGCTGTCAACTTCCTCACTTTTTCTTTTCAATCCACATTTTTGATATGGCTCAAGCAAAGAAACGTTGTTTCTGTGAGTCAGGGTCTGGCTGCTTTGGAAGGTTGATGGAGCAGCACTGGCCGAGCTATCAGCAGCTGTTACAACAATATGCTCCACTGCAGGAGCTGGGAGGAGGAGGCCCTGGTCGTAAGCAGGGATGTTGAAATTTGCTACCTGGTGAGAGGAGTTGGCTTGCCCTTGTGTGGCTGGGAGGGTTTTGCTGTGGGTATAATATTTGTCGTTGCTGCTCTGTCCAGAAACATCCCAGCCAGAGGGCTCTATTTTCAGTTTCTTCGTACTGCAGAAGGCACTCGACGACACTGATGGGGGGGAAAACACCTGCAGCTGTGATGCCATACCTACGTTGAGAGAGAGGAAGAATTAGACCCTCAATTTTACACAACCCCTCAACTAACAGATCAGAAAACTTTTAGTTTTGAAAAACCACAAGTAAAATATACCTATCTGGCTGGGGTTTTATTTTATACATTTTCCAAAACACGTTTCCTATTACAGAAGATCAACTTTTTGGTCTACTCACACACCCTTAATCACTCTTTGAGACTCAGCAACAGGTAGTATTGTTAAAAGAGCATGAACATCTATTATGGTTAATAAAATAATAACCATAATAATAATAATAGCTTAGATGACTGATCACTTACTATGTGTCAAGTAGTAGTAGCTTTGCGCAGTGGCAGTATCGTAGCCAATGAGGTTTATCCGAGGCGCGATTATTGCTAATTGAAAACTATGTGTCAAGTAGTCGTCTAAGCACTTCACATGCATTACTCATTTAAAATTTGTCACCACAACTCTTTGGAAAAGATACTATCATTATTTCCACTTTACAGATGAGGAAACTAAGATACAGAGTGGTTAAAGTAACTTGCCCAAAATAGCAGAGCTATTAAGTAGCAGCACTGGAATTCAAACCCAGGCTCTTTGGCCCCAGAGCTCATTCCACAGCTCTGTGTTCACTCCTGCCCTGATGAGCTTTTTGATCAATTATTTAAATTTAGACATAGATGGCACACTTATAAAATTTACAGAGGAATCATTTGGACAGGATACTCAATATATTGCTAAGTAACAGGTCCAAAAAGACCACAATAGGGTAGAAACTACAAGACAAATCGAGCAGATGAAATTGAACACAAATATAGAATCCTACATAGTCCAAACAAAGTATGACTAGCACAAAGCACAAGGATAAGAAATACAAGGTCTAGGAGGAGCACATGTATTTAAAAAACACTTTCAGCTGGTAAGAGAAACATTATGTAGTAATGCTCCCCCACCACCACCAAAAGCTAATTGAATCTTAAACTACATTCATAGACGGGTGCCTGGGTGGCTCAGTTGGTTAAGCGCTGCCTTCGGCTCAGGCCATGATCCCAGGGTCCTGGGATCGAGCCCCGCATCGGGCTCCCTGCACAGTGGGAAGCCTGCTTCTCCCTCTCCCTCTGCCTTCTGCTCTGCCTATCTGTGCTCTCTCTGTCTCTGTCAAATAAATAAATAAAATTTAAAAAAAAACTACATTCATAGACAGTGTCCAGAATGTACTGGACAAAGCGAAGGCTATTTACTCTGCTCAGTTAACTATTTTAATAGTGTCTAGCTCTGTCCACACTACATTGCAAAGAGGACCACTGATAAAATGACCAGAAGAAAGTAATCAAGATGATGTGAGCCTATTGAGAGGATCTTCTGAAGAACTACAGGAAGTTACTCTTAGAAAAATATGGAGAAAGGGCGTAGAACAGCCCAGCTTTCTGTCCCGGAATATCCCATAAACACCTCAAGCCCAATAAACCCCAAGACTCCCAAAGCTAATACTTTCAGAAAAAAGTTCAAACAACTGATATAGCATACAAGCCATTTCCTATTTATCTTCTCCCTTCTCAACCATATAACCCTCAGATGCCTGGGGGCTCTATATTAATTCTTCTTCTCTTATCCATACTTTCCCCCTTCCCAATAACTACCTTCCCAGGTTTAGTCATCTGCAAAAGATGCTCAAATCTTTATTTCTACCCCAGACTTCTCTCTCCTGAACTCCAAATTCTTATTTCCAAATAACCACTCCACACTGCAATTTGGATATCTTGCTGACATCTCAAATTTAACACGTCCAAAATTAAACTTATGAGCCTCCACCCCAGCCCTAGTCTTCTGTCTCAATTATGACACCACCATATATACCCAACATCTCAAGCCAAAAATCAGAGAGGCAATGAGCCTCAGTTTCCTCATCTATAAACTGGTGATGATAATACCTACCTCATGGGGTTATTCTGAGAATTAAATTATTTAATATATGTAAAGTGCTCAGTGCCTGGAATTCATTTAGTAGTATTATCCTGACTCCTCCTCCTCCCTTACTACTCTAATCTATAACCAAATCTTACCAATTCTACCTCCTAAGTATATTTCAAAATCAGCCATTGGGACCAATGTAGTTCAAAGAGCCAGTAGCCAGTAGCCTCCAACTAATCTTGAATGCACTCTGGGGATCTTTGTTTTAAACTATGCAAATCAGATGACTGCTCTTTCTTTCTTAATCACCTTCTTCCCCCTGCCTCCAGGGTTTTCCACTGCTTTGTGGATAAAATCCAAAATCCTCAATCTGCCTTAAAAAGCTCTCCAAAAATCTGGTTGTTGTCTTCCAAAATCTCCCCACCTTGATTCCTCCATTCCAGCCATACTGCCCTTTTCAGTTCTTGGAAGACCCTCTGATGTGTTGAAGATTTTCTTCTGGGAAAACCATTCATTCACATACACACACACACACCCCCACCCACAACTACCACCATCCCCCCCCCCCAACCGTGCACTCCCATAGCATTTTGTTTCTCCCTTACAACTCGAAATTATTCATTTAATGTTACTCACATTTCCAGCTACAGTGTAAGTTCCATGATAGGTACCGTATCTGTCTGTCTTGTTCTTTGCTTATCACCAGGAACTACCACAGAGACTCTGGCAATATTCAGACACGCAGTATTTGTTGGATGTTTTTGACCCCTGCCTACCAACTTGTATCTACTCCCTACCACTCAAACTGCAGGAGTTTCAAATGCTTGCTTTTATTTTTCAAATGTCCCTCCCTTTTACCTGTGCAGTCTTTGAGATATAGGGGGAGTCTCCCTATACTACACATAGTATAATTTTACTAGTCATAAGAGAATAAACAAGCACAACAAGAAAGGAAGGAAGTGTGACAAAGGATTGTTACAGAACATAAAAAAGCAATGTGTACATTTCTTTGTGCCTGAATGCAACTAAAAACCATCTGCACTGGACTAGACAGCTGGAACGAAGAACAAATCCCCAGCCTTCAATTTCTAAGATGTGGTCTGGATTTACTTTAAACAAGAGTTTCCATAATTTATGTGAACCCTGAAGAGAAAAAAGTGTAAATTAAAAGCTAAAGCCAGTGCAATTTAACTACAAGGCTACAAATTTACAAGTCCTCTTGTTCAGCCTGTATCACTGACATAATAACAAATTAAAAGAAAAATGTGAAACCAAGTAGTACCTTTACAAAATTTACCTATTAAAATACATGCAAAAGTACTTCTCATCTATCATAAAACTGAGCCAATTTTTGAACAATGAAAGGAAGCAAATTTTTGAAATTTGTTTTCCATTGCATATCTGTTCAGCTACTAATTTTAACAATCTATCAAGAAACAGGAGCACAACCTTTATGTGCCTAAAAGTATTTGATAAAAGAAATGAATGCAAAATTTGCAGTTTGTAGCTATGTCTAAGAATATGAAAGCTTAAAGTAATAATACTGAAAAGAATTCATGAAGTATAATACCAAATTTTTAAAAGTATGTTCATAACTAGACACCCATTAAAATATTGCATTTACCAGAGTAATGTTATGGACAACTTTTCACCCAATAAACAAAATAACAGATACTGATGGTTTCAAATCTTCACAGCAAGCACTGCAAAATGCACAAGTTCTAGGAATTTTTCTCTAAGTTTAAGTATATAAACGAATGCAATTCTTATTCAGTAAGACAAACTTTTAAGTCCACCCACAGGGAAAGAAAAACCCAGAATTTCCCTGGCCTTCCCCACAGTAAGGGTGTGTGGTACTAAGTCAGTTTCATGCCAGTATGGCTGAGACTCATCCTGACCTCAACCAGCACAAGGTGAGAATACATAATCAAAACTGCCTGGAAAAATCAACACTCTTAGGGCACCTGGGTGGCTCATTTGGTTAAGCATCTGCCCCCAGGTCATGATCTCAAGGTCCTGGGATTGAGCCCCATGTCAGGCTCCCTGCTCAGTGGGCAGTCTGCTTCTCCCTCTCCTTTTGCCCCTCCCCGCTGCTCATGTTCTCTCTCTCTCTAATAATAAATAAAATTTAAAAAAAAAGAAAAAGAAAAATCAACACTCTTATCTATATGACACCCTGAAATTCAGCTAAAAGCAGCCATTTCTAGACATAAGATAAAGATACTATGTTCCATAAAACCTGCCTTTGCAAAGTGGGGAAGCAATTTTCTTCCTAGGGTGAGGCCTCCCAAACAAAATTATGGACCAGAATTAACATCTGTGGAAAACTTACTATGTATCAGACTCTGTTAAGAATATTCTCAAATAGCAGGAGAGCAGCTCCCAATAAATTAAAAAGTTACTTCTGACTTCCTGAAAATGTTGCACCTCTTGACTCTAGTAATAAACTAGTCTTTTCATTTCAAACCTGACTCTCCATCTAAATATACTGACAAATTTGGCCACTGCATGCATTAATCGGGAACTAGAACTAACAGGCAAAAGGTTACTAGTACTCGCACTTATTGCTAAAGAGAACTGAGTCTTGCTAGAACCTAAGGCTTTCAAAAACAATCAAATTAAAGGCTTCCCCACTCCCTGCCGTGGTCACATCTATCAAACATTTACAGAGTGCCCCACATTATGGGCACTATAGGTAGGTAATATTACTACAAATGATTCAAATATTATAACTATGAATGGAACAGTTGGTTATGACAACCAAGGTAATCATTTGTCAGTGTTTTGCCCTTACTCTTCAGGTAACTTCCATCTTCCACATCAATAATAAATTCCTACTGCTTTCACTTAGCATCATCTTTGCCTCTTTGATACAATTTAACAATTGGTGACCTAAATAACCTAAAATCAGTACTGTATATTGATTGCTTCCTCTGGCACTTGTCCTCAGCTGATGTGTACACAGATATACATCTTCTCCAGCACGCTGATATATAAAGAATATTCACATCATTAAAGTAGGTAAATAAGAAAACACATTCTGTAAAAATAAAGCAAGGAGTAGTTTTGGGAAGAAAACTCCTTCACCACAACACCATCTATCTCTCCACTCCACCCATTTTTCTCCACCCCTGCTGACAATCCTGGACTGTTTCAACAGCCTAACTTGCTTCCCCCAAATGGTACTCTCAAGCCCCCTTTTTAAACTCCCTTCTCCCAACTCATTCTTTACCTTACAACTGAAGCTTTTAAAAATGCTTATCTGTCTTCTGCTTAAAACCTTGAGATAAAGTCCGAGATCTCTAAATTTCCAGTAGCACTAAATTTCTCTGGGTTCCTAGAGTAGGCCTTATTTCTCCCATCTTAGTTCCTTCACACATAATAGTCCCTCTCTGAACTTCATTGAACCCTCCTAGTCTTCTCTTTTTCTAACTTCTACTTATCCTGTTAATCTCCATTTAAACCTCACTTTTTTCAGTGTTGTATAGGCTGTTGGTTTGGATCAAAATCTACTCTCTCCTTCACCCCAGGCACATGGCTATGTTCACCAGCCCCTCTCACCA